TTTGATGATGATTGTTGAGTAATAATATTTTGATTATTAATCATTTTTTTTTTGTAATTAATATTTACATATTATTGTAATTGAAAACAAACACTTTTTATTTTGTAATAATTACATATTACTAATTGAATTTGAGATTTAACTAATACATATAGATTGGAAATTATTAAGAAATACTTTTAGTTTGAAATATGACATTGCTCATTGACGTGCATGACAATAAAAGTACCAATTTTAGAGTTTCATTTCTGTAATCCATTAAAATCTATAATTCTATTGTACTAATCTTCAGGATTCTCAAATCCATGATCCAAATTCAAAAAATCAATCGTTAAAAAATTTCCATTCTCAAAGATGAATTTTACAATTTGTATCAAACATGTCAGACTCAAAAATAGTCAATTACTAATTTAGAGTGTTTAAGCATTATTGGCAACTGACATGAATACCTTATCAATCGCACTATGGTAATTAAAAAACTTTTCAACATGCACACTCCTCCAACAACCTTCATCATATTTCATAAACAATTCAAAAAAAATCAACACAATATGACAACACCACTTATATTACATCACCAAGAGAAACAACATTTTAGAGCAACAGCAGCAGTTATAAGAATTATTGTAATATTTTCATGTATTTTATTTTTTTTATCTCTATTAGTTCAATGTAGTAGTGATAATGATCTTTATGAAACTCAACTATTTAATAGAATATATAATACTAATTTTATGTGGTTACAAAATGTTGAATCATCTTCGTCATCATATATATCATCATCATATCAATCATTATCTCTTGATATGAACTATCAAAATAATTCAACATTAAATTCAACATCATCTTTAAATTATGGTGATTGTAATCCAATATTATTTGAATTGGGTAATTTTAGTAGAGATGGTACAAATGTAATGTATTCAATATGTCCAGATACATGGTTGACTCCTGCTGTTTCAATTGTATTTTTAACAGGTTATTTAATTGCATTGTTATTGTGTGGAATATTTTTATTCCTCAAAAGGAAATCACCACATGTTAAAGCTAGAAATTTATCATATATGGTAATGACTATTTTATCTAATTCTGGATTTATTATTATTATTTGTTTAAGATTTATTATAGGTAGAAGAATATATCCATGTTCTATATATATTTTATCCTATTTTATTATTCCACCTGGTATTTTATTACCTTCCATATTTAGATTATGGAGATTGTATTTCATGTATAAGGAAAATTTACAAAAAATGAAAATGAATGAATATAAAAAGGATGAAAAAATTACAACTACTAATAATAATCAATTATCTCAAATTTCAAATAATACTACTACTAATACAACTACTAATACAATTAGTTCACTTTCGAATAAGAAAATAAATTCATCCTCATCTAACAATTTAACCTATGATAATGATACAGAAAGTACAGATGATACAAATTCATATTGGAATGATTATGAATTGGAATTTAAAAAACATGAAAAACTTCATAAATTATATTCCTTTCTATTAAGTAACAAATTTGTAATAGTTTCCTATTTAGTATCATTTTGTTTACATATATTACTATTTATAATATTAGGTTCAATTGAGGAAGGTATTTACAGTAGAGATTCATCAAAGCCTAGAGTTTTTTTAGGTGATGGCGGATTTTTTGTATCAACTCGTGGTTGTGTTATTAATAATTCAATTGTAATAATTTTGGCGGTAGAAGCTATTTTCTACATTGTAGTGGAAATTGTATTCCTAGTATTGAGTTTTATTACACCGAGAGATACTTGGTTTATTAAGAGAGAAACATTGGTTTTAATTACTTTACAATTTTTAGCAATTATTTTATTTGCAATTTGTGGATTTTTAGATGCTATTGCTAATTTTACAGATTATTTTGTTCCATTTGGATTTGTTTTAATGACCTATTCATTTGTGGAAGTTATTGTTTGTGTTTTATTTCCAATTTTAGTATATTCTAATGGGAAAATTAAAAATGGAAAGGATTCTGAATTGGAACAATTTTTAATGAATAAGAGAACTTTTACAATTTTACTTGATTTTGCAAGAAGAAGGTTTGTTTATTTAAATTAATTTTATTTAATTTATGTATTTTAATTTTTTTTTTAATTTAAATTAATTTATATTTTTAATTTAATTTAAAATAGTTATTGTCCAGAATCAGTATTATGTTATAGAGATATAGAAAGATATAAATTAACAAGTAAAAAGAATAGAAAGAAAGCAGCATTAAAAATTACAAAAACCTATTTAAAAACAGGTTCACCATTAGAATTAAATTTTCCAAAATTGAATCAAACATTTGAAGAATATTCACAAATAATTAATAATTCCAATAATAATCAATCATTATTAGAAACTAGTTTATTTGAATCAATTCAATTACATTGTCTAGATGATATGAGAGATGTATTCGATCGATTGAAAAATCAAAGTAAGGAAACTAGAAATATTTTAGAACAATGGAAATTACAACAACAATTAAAGGAAATGGATGATATTAATATTAATATGAATAATAATAATAGTACTACTATTACAATGCAACAACAATTTGAAGATGACTCATATTTACCAAATGTAGAATCAATTGATTTATCAAATATTAATAATAATCAAAATAGTCTT